GCGGGACAATAGTTTGATATGGACTCTGATATCAGAGAAATGTCGAATGTTGTTTTATACAGGGTAGAGTTGGAGAATATTTTGCCTAATGAACTTAAATTTGCAGGCAGACATGAGAATGTTGAGTTGCTTTTCTGTTTTGTTCTTTAATTTCCCTTTTGCCAATTCTCTGTGAGGGGCCATAAGGTTTCTTGGATGTAACCCAAGATATCTACAAGATTCATGTTCTGTTCTTTTCTTCTGCTTCAAATGTTGTAATATTCATTGCTGCAAACCTGCAACTTCTATTTGTTGGCTTATTTCGAATCAGTTAATTATTATTTCGTAACTTTGAATAAAAAAAATTCTTTTATTCGGTTTCAAACTAACCAGAACTATGAAAATCTTTAGTCTATTTCAGTTTCTCGCGACTAATCCTTCTGGACGAATAGTCTAAAACAGATGTCTTTATATAATATGCTCAAAAAAAAGATGTCTTCATATAAAAAGGAAATTCTTGACCGAAAAGAAAAGGGAAAAAACTTAAAGAACGATGCAGATTGCTTATGTTTAGAAGCTTTTCCGACTAAGATTAGTGTAAATGCTGTTCTGAATAGATTAATTTCACTATGACTAAAATACGTCATCAAGCAAAAATTGCCATTTCAACTAAAAGTAAAGGATCATTTATCCAATGAAGAATATCTGTTAATTGTTAAAGCTTAATAGGAAATGCATAGACTCTATTTCCACTTGTTTTATATTTAAGTCGTTTTAGTTTATTTTCTTAAATATCTTAATTTCACTCATCAAAATTATTTGTTTTCTATGATGGAAGGATGAAATTCGAATATAATTCTTAATTTATGTCTTATCATTTAGACTTGATAGGAGTATTATATATATTAGTCATGGGCATTCTCATCTAAGTTACTTTATGGAAATATGCTTCATACACAAATCTTAAAACAGACATTGATGTTTACCTGCTGAGCTGGTTTACTTCCATCCCAATATGAAGTGACTTTTCAGGGGAACTTAAGCCTCATGCTTTACAACATGATTCTTGCTTCACCTCTAAGTAATTCCTAACTCATCTTCACTTCAACTTTGTTATGGAATATGGATAGAAGAGGAGGATAAATTCATTTTTGATGAAGCATGAGAACTTAACAAACACTCCATGCTATAAAAGCCAAATTGAAATCAATGATTTATGAGATGAGAAACTATATATTACTTTAATTTGTAATATAAAATTGTAGCCATGACTCCAATGTTCTTGTCCATTCCTTTCTCTAGTGATCTACGACATATCACAATCTGATTAATTTTAACTCAAAACCATGCATCGCACCTTTCATTGGATGGAGCTAATACTTGGCATCTTTCCTTTCCAAATCCAAGCAAAGTGTTTTGAGGTAAGCAGCTGAAAACCACGTTCCACACGCGCCTGACACGTCCACCCGGTCCTTCTTATAAGCAAGATGAATTTTATCCAAGAACAGCGCGTGGCAGGGTTCCAAAGTTGAAGTATATATAGCACTATTTTATTGGTAAGGCAGGGAAAAGTTGCAAAAGAATAATGGCATGAATGGACTGAAGTTGTGGTCACCAAATGTGGGCCAATGGAGTTGGTTGCCGCATATCCCTTGGAAGATTCTGTCATTTCCTTTTTTGGGAGAATTAAAAAAACCACATTTCAAATTCTCACTTTGTTACAAATCTCAACTTCAGCTAAGTTGATTTTTACAATCAACGAGTTTGAATGTGTTAATTTACGTCTTTTATATAAAGCTGCCCTCACACGCACATATATCTTCCTAATTCGAAGCTAGAAGCCGTTGATGAGTTATTTCGAGATGGCCAGTGGTTTCACCTAGTCATGGTGCCACCCCCACTCAAAGAACTTGGCAAGCAGATCAAAAGGGTCTTTTGAGCATGGTGGGAGGTGGCAGAGTAAATATGTAAGGCGGGGGGTCTGCTATGATGGGGGGAAATGGATGGGTTTGGTTGAATTCAACTTCTTCCAGGAGCTTCCCCCCCCCCCCCCCACAACACACACACACAGGGCAACTACAATCCTTTGGCATGCACTTTTTCAGTCGAAGAAGATGACCTTTCATCTCTTTACTTTATCATGTGATTGAGAAAACTGGGTTTTTGAATTGCAGTCATTAGATTTCACTGTAGAGATGGTTTCTTCCACAGGGCAACTTCAATCCTTTGGCAGTTTCGTTTCCCCGTGTCATGTCTGTTTACATATCAAAGGGGCATAATGAAGTATCATATGCGGCATGACCTGGAGTTAGTTTCTATTTTGGTAAGCAATAATCTCTGTGTTTATGGTTTACTTTTTCCCTTTTCATATTTTCTTAGTGCATGTTGTATGAAATAAGCAATGGCTCGTTTCTCTGCATTTCTGATTTTGGTTCTGTATTGTATCAGAATACAGAAAAAGAAAACAGAAGAATATTATATTTGATCTGCTGATATTTCAGAGTCCAGATTGTTAGTGACTTTGCAGCCTCAATGTTAGGGCTTTCTTTAGCCGTCCAAAACATTTGTATGGCACAGCTCATTTTATTTAGTTTATTGTTACAACTATATAGTAGCTCCATCGTGCTATCGGGATATGGCTAAGAACTCGAAAACCCGCAACCCACGAAACAAGGAAAAAATCAGAAACACTGCACATGCATATTTAATCTAGATTGCTATATCTTGATTTGTTTCTCGTACATTTTTTTGGCTGTTTTCCTGAAGAAGACGATGTTATATTATTTATCTTGCATTACTTGGTAAGTGTGACAGATTTCAGATCCTAAGCATTTCGAGGACTCTAATTAGGTTAATATCGTCAAGCATCAGTCCTTTTTCTCAGGTTCAATAACTACCAGTACATTGAACTTTCATGCAATTTTTTCCCGGCTGCCAATCAAGTTAATTTGCTCCTTTGCTGACTGCTGCTGAGTTAATGGTTTTTCCTTTTATTCAATTGTACACATTTCACAAGTTTTCAGACAAATTTGATATGTTCACAAATTCAATTCAAAGACAGACAATAGAGAGTGGAAAAGCATACTTTTAAGCCTGTGAACTTGCTCAAAATCAGGAATATTCCGAGTGTCTTGCCACCCTTACTTTAAGTGAACACGTGTTGAATCGATTGAATTGAACACTCTTTAACTTTGATAAAAGTAAATTCTTAATTACAAGTTGGTGACTAATTTAGAGCCTAAATGACAATGACAGGAACCAATAAATGAATTTGGTTATAGGGATTAGGGTTGATAAGCATAGTATTGTTGAGACGATGATGTGGAGGGAACTTTGTCGAAGAATATAATGGGTTTATTCCATAGTATCTCCAAAAGATACTTCTCTTTAATTTACCATCATGAATTTATGACTCTATTCTGGGGTACACAACAGTTAAAAGAGTTAAAAAATAATAAAATTAAAGGCCTGAGATCTTTAGATCTTGAAAACAATAACTATAATTTTGGTGCTTTGATCCCACTATTTTTGCAGATGTCAGTTAAGATTTGATCCACGCATTTTTAAACATTGTGATTTGGTATTTTTTAAAATCATTTTGCTGCTTACGTAGTCAAATTCAAGCTTCTAATTACTCAGGTTTCCATATCTGATATAGACACTTGAGGATCGTTTTTTACACGTCACTGTTTGAGATACGATCGTATAGGCTGTCTCTTGAATCATGACATGGATGACAGGTACCATTTATTTCTTTTAAATAATGCATGGTTTCTCTCCTCTTTTCGTTCCTGGCAAAGTACTATTCACCGTGGTTTCAAGTTTCATATCGTCTCTTAACACAATAGATCAGTATGCATGTTAAAACTTCCCGTAAACTATTTACAAATCAATAGTATATTATTCATTTACAATTTTTTTAAAAGTATAATCATGATATATTCATTTGTCAAAAACATCATCAATAACGTTTTATCAAATACATATTGAATAAATATATATATTCATGGTTAACATAGGTATAACAATGATCCACTAGTGATAGTCTCGTAAGCAAAAGTGTAAATAATTGAGGCAACGACATACAAAAACGGATCACTCTAACGTTCCCGAGCACCAAGCATGGAAGAGAAAAACCTAAAGGATTTCCAAAGCGGATGAATGAAAAATTGATCTCTCCTTAACAACAATCTCATCGTACATAGATATCCGACAATTAACGGAATATCCTATACAAACGAACGAAGAAACCATACATTGAAAAAGCAACCAAAGAAGAAATCATGTAGAATCATGACTTAAAAGAAGACTAATAAAAAAAACCTGAATCGAAAATAAAAAATCTCTAATAACCATGATGCTTTTTACTTAAGAAAGGGTCAAGAGAATATATTATTATAAATATGTTAAAATATATATAATTGAAAACTGATAAAATTAGATAATAATTAACTAGAAAAGAGAAAAAAATGTCAGGCAACCGTGAAAAGCCACCACCACTACTTGGCAGTTAGAAAGTTGTGATAACCGGCAGCCAATAAAATAATTGCTACAGAGAGAAAGTTTTATTTTTTTAATTAATATGAGATAAATACAAGGTAATATATGTTGAAAGATAACTCTCAATCTTTCAACATTGAACGATCAGAACTTTGACATCTATAGTGTTGGAACCTGAGTCCTCAACGAATAAAAACAATTCTTTTACCAGATAATGGGTAATTAGTTTTATTTTAAATATAAATAATTCATATTCATTTATGTTTTTAAAAATAAACTAATTCATTAACTCATTTATTTAATTAAATTTAATAGGCTTCTATGGAAAATGGAGATAATGGGTAATTAGTTTATGTATAACGGGCTGGTTGCCCAATTTTTTTTTGGGCATAGGCTATTCACCCAATTTTATAATCCCATATTTAAATTTTTGGTACATAGGACAAAACGACAACGTTTTTTAACCATCATAATAGCTCTATCCCATGGATATGGATATCAGCTCGCAAAAGATTAAGCAATTCATTTGGTGGCTCCTCAACCCAGAGCGTCCCATCGGTTCGTATGGAAGATAGGTGTGCCATCCGATCCACGCAACGATTTCCTACCCTTCAGGTATGTCGAACTTCCTTAACCCATCATTCTTTTACCATTTTTTGACTGTCACTGATAAGAATTTCATTTATCATGTTGGTCGATTTATCTCCATGTATCGCTTCGACTGCCCATCGAGCATCTGTTTCGACTATTAAGTTTGTCGCTCCCAAGGCTTTCACAAGGTTCAATCCTTCTCTTATACCCCAAATTTTGCCCATGATGATCGTTGTTTTGTCAAGATTTACCATAAACCCGAGCACCGATTTTCCATTTTCATCTCTTTTCAGACGACATGCGGTAGCCATGCCCATGTTTGCTCTGTAAGCCCCGTCTGAGTTCAAGATCCAGTGTCCAATTGATGGTTTCCTCCATTTTACTCATTTGGGTTCACGAGTAATCATCTGTTTTATGTTGTTCTTTGTTTGGGTGATTTCTTTTGCCAAATTATTGTTGTAGTTTATCAACTGAGCTGTGTTGGGATTATTATTTTTAAATATTGCTTCGTTTCTGGTTTTTCATAAGCTCCATATGATTGTAGAAAACTGAGTTCCCCAACCTATTCCATCTTTGGTCACTTTTTCTGATCGACAATTCCATCTCATCCATTCTTCAAAAACCCTAGATTTGAAGCTCACATCTTGACTCATCACTTCGGTCTTCTCCCACACCTCTTTCGCTACTTTGCACTCTCTCAGTATGTGTTCAATCGATTCGATAATTCTCTGGCAATGTGACGCCAGACAGAATAGTGATTATCCTGTAGGCTAGCTCCGACAGACGATACACAAGAGAAAATTCGTCCAAAAACCAGAGAAAAAAGTCTCTAGGGTTTAATAAAATATTATAAAATCAAACAATTCCAAAAAACAGTCTACAAGCCGGACTGTTATAGCAAAAAATCGTCTTTATTCGAATTTTGCCAAAAATAGCAAAATCTCGAAAATCACTCTAAATTAAAATTCGAAATAAAATAAGCAATCTCCCAAAAATCCGGCCTAAATCGGATTTAAATTGACTTTCTAATTAACAATCGAAATATTACCATAAATAGAAAAAAATAACTAAATCTAGTGATCAGGAGGGGAAAACGAAAGAATTTGAGGTTGAAAAAAATGTCACATGGAGCGTAGCTCAATGTGGAGAGCGTGCGCATCGAAAAGAACTTTCCGGATTGGGGTCTTATGCGCGATTCTGGCACCTGTAGCCAAAGTTATGGCCAAAAGACTGAAACATACTCAAAACGACACCAATGAGGAACATGTCACAATCAATTCCCGCCTTTGCGCTGATCTGCCAACTCATGGTATCTCAGCGCCATCAACGTGCAATCTGACAACTCAGCATCATCTGTCTCGGATCCCCCTGCATCAGTCACCCCGGGTTGGAAAGAACTCGTCCTCGAGTTCAGAGTAGTGTCAACAAGATCCACAAAACAATGACTCAAGTGCTTCACATTAAAGACATCAGAAGTCTTCAAGTGACTGGGAAGTCGCAACCTGTAAGCATTATCATTGATCTTCTGCACGACCTCACAAGGTCCAATCTTCCGATCCTTAAGCTTATTATACTCACTAACAGGAAAACGATCCCGAGTTAATACAGCCCAAACAAAATCACCAACATCAAAAAGTACCTGACGACGATGATTGTCGACCCGAGTCTTGTACTTGGTATTGCTCTCATGAATGGTCTGTTTCACTTGCTCATGGATACCCCGAAGATACTTTGCCATCTCATCTGCTTTAGGACTGAAACGTCTTATACGTGGAATAGGGGCTAAGTCCAACACCCCGGATGGGTTCTGACCATAGACAATCTCAAATGGACTTAAACCTGTGGTTCTGTTTTTTGATCTGCTGTAGGCAAATTCTGCCTGAGGCAATGCCAAATCCCACTGCTTCGGCTTCGTTCCTGCCAAACACCTCAAAAGGTTTCCCAAATTTCGGTTCACCACCTCGGTCTGGCCATCCGTCTGGGGGTGGTAGGCGTTACTAAAATTCAACTGCGTTCCCAGTTTCCCCCACAGGCTCTTCCAGAAATGACTGATGAACTTAGTATCACGATCTGAAGTGATGGATCGAGGAACACCATGTAAACGCACAATCTCCTTGAAATAGAGATGGCCAATCCGGTCAGCATCCATAGTCTTTCTGCAAGCTACAAAATGAGCCATCTTGGAAAACCTGTCAACCACAACAAAGATAGAATCAGAGGCCCTTTGGGTGCGGGGTAAGCCTAGTACAAAATCCATGCTGACATCGAATCAAGGAGCTTCAGGAATAGGTAAGGGAGTGTACAATCCCGCATTGGTGAGAACTCCCTTAGACCGCTGGCACACATAACAACGGTCCACATAATGGGCCACATCACTAGTCAACTTGGGCCAATAAAATTCAGAAGAGATAAGGGCCAATGTCTTATCTCGGCCAAAGTGTCCCTCATTATGGAGTTCACTTATAATTTGCTGCCTCAACGAACAATCTGGAATGCACAACTGTAATCCACGAAACAGATACCCATTATGCAAAACAAAATCATGACGGTGACCCTCAGTTACCTCCTGAAATATCCTTCAAAGGAAGGATCAGCTGCATACATATCTGTGAACGTCTCAAATCCTGCAACTTTAGCACTCATGGTGGTGAGAAGTAAGGTACGACGGCTCAGGGCATCTGCGACGTGGTTCAAACTCCCTGCTTGGTGCCTCAGCGTAAAAGTGAATTCTTGCAAGTATGCTACCCACTTGGCATGACGTCTACTCAGCTTGTGTTGGCCATTGATGTACTTTAAGGCCTCATGATCGGTAAACAGAATAAACTCCTTCTGTACTAGGTAGTGACGCCAATGCTTCAGGGACTGAACTATGGCATAGAACTCCAGATCATAAGTGGAATAATTTTTCTTTGATCCCGATAGCTTCTAACTGAAAAAAGCAACCGGACGACCTGCCTGACTCAGAACACCACCAATGCCAACGCCAGATGCATCACAATTTACCTCGAACACTTTGTCAAAATCTGGAAGTGCCAAACTGGAGCCTCGGTCATCTTCTGCTTGACCAGTTGAAAACTGGCCTCTGCCTCCTCAGACCACTGGAAATCACGCCCCTTGAGGCACTCTGTGATAGGGGCGATCAGAGTACTGAAATTTCTAATGAATCGGCGGTAAAAAGACGCCAAGCCATGGAAACTTCGGATGTAAGGTTCTTGGTCTGGGCCACTCCAACTGCATCTATCTTTGACTGATCTGTATGAACACCATCAGACACAACAAAACCAAGAAAAGTCACAGAAGTAGTGAAGAAAGAACACTTCTTTTGATTGACAAACAAGCACTCCGTTTTCAGCATCTCAAAAACAGCACGGAGGTGATCGAAGTGTGAAGTCCATGTCGGACTATAAACGAGGATATCATCGAAGTAAACTACAACAAATTTCCCCATAAAAGGCCGCAAGACCTGATGCATAAATCTCATGAACGTACTGGGCGCATTGGATAACCCAAAAGGCATGACCATCCACTCATACAACCCTTGTGGCGTTTTAAACGCCGTCTTCCACTCATCTCCAGGCCTTATTCTGATTTGGTGGTAACCGCTCTTAAGGTCAATTTTTGAGAAGACCTTAGAACCAGATAGTTGATCCAACATATCATCTAGACGGGGAATTGGAAACCGGTACTTCACTGTAATTCTGTTGATCGCTCGGCTGTCAACACACATACGCCAAGAACCATCTTTCTTTGGCACTAACAGAGCAGGGATTGCACATGGGCTCATACTCTCTCGGATATAGCCCCTCTCCAACAACTCTTCCACCTGTCGCTGCAACTCTTCAGCCTCCTTGGGACTGAGGCGATATGCTGGTCGATTTGGCAAACTTGACCCAGGAACAAGGTCAATTTGATGCTGAATATCCCTCATAGGTGGTAGTCCAGGAGGAAGATCCTCTGGCATCAAGTTAGAGAATTATGCCAGCAGCCGCTGCACCTCTACTGGTAAATCTGTATCCACGCCTACTGCATTGTTCTCGCAAGGTAGCAAGGCATAGACCACGCCGCCATGCTTAATCTCATCTAAAAACCTGGACATAGAAAGCAGATTAGTATTATGGGTTACTGGGTAGGAGTAAGTCCTTCCGCCGGGGTGCCAACACAATCTTTTTTCCCTTGATGCTAAGGGAATATGTATTCTTCCGTCCATCATGAATGACACTGCGATCATACTGCCAAGGTCGACCCAACAATATATGACACGCATCCATAGACACACATCACACCAGGCATTATCAAAATATTTTCTACCAATTGAAAAAGACACGAGGCATCGCCTATCAACTGTTACCTCACTGTCTTTATTTAGCCATGACAACTTGTATGGCTTAGGATGACGGTCCGTCTTCAACTGCAATTTCTGGACAACCTCCTCGGACACTACATTCTCACAACTGCCGTTGTCAATGATCATTTTGCAGACTTTATCTGCAACTGTGCAGTCGTGGGAAAATATTGGTTCTCACCAATCGTCCCCTGAATCGCCCTTGGGGGTAAGTAGAATCTTGCGAACGACCAGAGTCTCATGACCATCTCCATACAGCACATCATCAGTCTCATCATCGTCATACACGGGTTCGCCAATCTCTTCAGTCTCGTCTTCCACGTTTTTCCTCAATCAACAAATTTTTGCCCTTTTGACTAACCAATCGTCCCCTGAATCGCCCTTGGGGTAAGTAGAATCTTGCGAACGACCAGAGTCTCATGACCATCTCCATACAGCACATCATCAGTCTCATCATCGTCATACACGGGTTCGCCAATCTCTTCAGTCTCGTCTTCCACGTTTTCCTCAATCAACAAATTTTTGCCCTTTTGACTAGCAGGCTTCCTGCAATCAGTCGCCCTATGCCCTTGTTCACCACAACGAAAACATCTAATAGTAGGGTTAGAATTACGCTGCGGTGGCTGCTGAGCAGGACGGGACTCCTGAGGGCGAACTGGTCGACTGTTGTGATCGCTCCTGA